GGGCCGTAGCCATGGCACGGAAGGCGTCGGTCGGTGCACTCCCTACACGCAGGGATTTGGAGGTCGCATTTCCGATGTCTGAGCTTGCATGTCCAGCATCCACAGGGGAATGATCTCATGATTGCTGATAGTGAGGGAGAAAAACGATGTACTTGGAGCAACTCGGAGTTTGTGGAACTTTTTGGAGGTCATGCTTCTCCACTATCTGTTTAGCAGACAAATCACAGCATGTTCCGGGCTCGAGACTCGGGGGCGCTTCGACTTGCCCTGTCAGGAAACTCTTTCTAAGGCTAGCGCGGCCAGTTTAAGTGCATGGCTTGGAGCAGCAGGCAAATCTAGAATCCATCGGTCAACATAATTGCAAGCATGATTTAGCCTCGCCAATGTAAGCTTTTGACCCATTCCAGCCTGTGGCTTTCTCAAGATCCCGCTCAGATACAGTGAGCCATGGCATGTCGAGTCTAAAGTTAAAAAGCAAAGCTCACATAACCACAACAACATCAACTGGATGGTTTGCTATACAAACACATTATTTACTGGCTAGCTATAAATTGCACGATATTCTAGGTCCCGTAAATGGCTGTAGTTCAAGGACTAGCTATAATTTGGAGTGGTGCTACAGTTGTCAAATCCCCCTTCTTGAACCCAAGACGCAAGCAGACATCATAAGTCCTAGAAACAAGACAGGAATGAAATGTCGGCAACAATGTCTTGTTAACGACCGAGACAGACAATGGTAGCTGCAGCGTAGAACTGTAAAACTCCACAGACGAGCTCCCTGGAGTTTTGCCCTCTAGTGCATGATTACCATGTCGTGCCCATGATATTTGCGGACAGTCGACGGCCAACGCAATGGTCGCGACGAATGGCTGCTTGAGGCTGGGCTTTTCATCCTGGTCAGGGAATGCTTGGTACGGGTCGGCTTGATGCCAAGTGTAGGATCGGAGGGAAAGAGATGTGCTGTCCAGTTTCGGGGGCGTGATCCCATCGATGTCAGGATTGAACGTCAATGTGACATCAATGACCGTAGGTACAATGGCGGTTCCATACGCTTGGAGATGAAGTGGTTCAGGCTGCATCGCTGCGGCGCTGATGGTTCCGACCGGACGCTTGAGCGAATTATCCCGAAAAGATTTCGTGCCTCGCAACTTATATCGCGGGCTTGTCAGCGATACATGGAGAGGCGGGCTCTCGCTTAATCTTGGAATGAAGCGTATGGTTCTCTTGGCCGTAAAGACTTGACTGTTACCCTTATTCAGGAACGAGTACGATGTAACGCAGGCATTGATTCCATATTCAACCTTGACGACCCCAGGACTCATGTCATCTCGATACCAATCTCTTCCTACTGCTGGGGGGAGCAATAAATGCGTGTCCGTGACAGTCGTTGATATAGCATTGTGTGTGCACGCCGTCGAGTCCAGTTGATCGGGTAAGGTGAACTGAAAAGGTATTTCATACGAGCCATTTTTCTTGAGCGTTGTTCCGACCAACGGAAGAATATCGGAGGAAATTGAGTCCATCTTCAGAAATCGGTGTGTAGTCGTAGTTGTCAACTTTTGTCCGACTGTGCGAATCGTCGTGGCGCCATCAAGGGAGATGGTGATGGAGGAAGCGCTAATATCAGCAGCCGGTGAAATAGCTATATGGCCTTGTACAACAGATCCAGAAGAGTAGATTTTGGCGAGGTAAGAATCGGCAAGGTTGATCTCGAGCTTGCAGGATCTTCGCCAGTTGCGGAGTTTTGATGCTGCCTTGGATATGCCCAGCTCCTCCATTTGGTGGCTTTGCTGAAGAGACATCATTGAGGATTGGCGTCTGTATCGTTAATGGACTCTTGATAGAAGTGATTGATCGATTTCCTTTACAAGCGGAGGGCTTTTCTGTGATAAGGTAGATAGGCTAAGAGAGACTCCAGCCCCGAGGCACAAAAGCAAAAAAGACCAACAAACACACACGGGGAGGGCTTCTCTATAAGTATAGAAACTATTTCTCTGAAGCTTCTCTTTGCCATTCAATTTTACATAATAGTTTTACTAAACCAACAAGTGCCTTGGTAATGCTGACTTGCCACTGACGCGCCTAAGTAACTCGCGAATTATTGAGATTAGCAATAAGAGAGCGATATCCTCCACTATGCAGAAATAGACATCTTCTACATTTAAGAGGCTTTAATAATACTATGTACAACAGCAGGTTTACACCAAGACCTTATCAATATAAGTTCCGAGCTCCTTCAAGCCATCAACCAACACATCCGTCTCACAGACATAGCCCATACGAACATACCCCTTGAAGTCTGTATCACCTCCAAAACAGCGAGATCCCGCAACAAAGAGGAGCTTAGCCTTATCCAACAAATCAAGACAAAGCTTGACATCATCCACAGGATCCCCATTCTTGTCATTGAAACGGATGAACGCCGTCGTACCGGCCTTAGGCTCTTCCCATGAACAAACAGACTTGTACCGTTCCATGAATTCCTTGAGGATGGCTGCGTTTGTCCTGGCGAGGGTGATATTCCGTTGTACCAAGGCGGGCTTGACCTCGGGTGACAGGGCAAACCTGGCAATTTGATCGTCGATCTGGGAGACGCTGATGGTGGTGTAGTCGCGTGCGAGCATGATGGCAGAGATAATGGATCGATCTCGGCTGGCGATCCACCCGATTCGGATGCCTGCTAGGGCATAGCCCTTGGACATTGATCCCGTTGCGATGGTCTTGGAGTACGCTAAGGTCGTCACTGGCTTGGGCACTTCAGTGTGATCGCCACCAGATGCACCGCCGTGGAAGAGCGGTCGATATACCTCATCAGAGAAGAGGATGATACCTTTGTCCTCTGCAATCTTGGCGATGCGATCGATAACACTGCTTGGGATTGGTGCGCCAGTTGGGTTGTTGGGATTGTTAATGATGATCATCTAACGATGTCAGTATCTAGGGTCGAACGTAAAAACAGTGAGCAGTAATCCGTACCTTGGTGTTTGGCTTGATCAGACCCGCTAGTTCATCCACATCAGGCACAAAGCCATTTTCCTTCTTCAGCTTCCAAAGAGTCACTTCTGCCCCGAGACTGCGTGGAGTGTCGTAGAGCTGCTGATACGTCGGATAGACACAGATCACATGGTCACCGGGGCCTATAAGCGTATACAGGGCCAAGAAATTAGCACCTATAGCGCCCTGAGTGACGATGACATCCTCAGGCGCCAACTGCACGCCCTCGGTGCTGCAGTGGGCAGCGATGCGCTCGCGAAGAGTCTGAGATCCTGGGATCGCGCCATACGTGAGCTTGATGCTCGTGTCGATGGGGTTCTTGGCGGGGCCGGTGGACATGGCGACCAAGTCGTCAATGGAGACGGAGGCGGCGCATGTCTCGGCAACGTTGAGGACGCCAGGAGTGGTCTCGTAGGCGTCCATCCATTGCTCCACGGCGAAGGGGGTGATGCGAACCATGATGAATGCTTAGATGACACGTGTATGTATGTTCTGGTGTGCGTTTGTTTATTTGGTCTGCTGGTCGAGTTGAAGGCTCTAGAAGGGATGTTTAAATATCCGATTCTATCGCTAGACTGGATATTGGTCTACGCCCTTGATGTGATGAATGTCAAGATTGAGCAGAGCCCAGACGTTTGACGGATTGTCTATTGGTCCACGATTGTACTAAGTCAGCCGGCGGCGTCTGTCGAGGCCCACTCGACTCCTCGGCATATGCCGGGATGATCTATAGACCCACGTTGATGATGCCAAAGACAGGTAGCGCCGCTTACTTTGCTTTCTTTGGCTTAGAATAATCCCCAGCTTTTGCAACTCGTATGTTATGTTATGTTATGTATATTTTTCGTCCGGGGGGCCGTAGGCCCCGAGAGTCCCCTGCTGGGGCACAGGACGTGCTGAGCTAGAGAATTGGGGATCTATCTATAAGCTAATTACAGAAATACCATTGGCTACAAGGGCGATTAGTCATTCGCGACGCGAAATTAGTCTTCCCTCAGATTCCAATTTTTGCAACCGCGTTAGTAGACCAAACACACTCTATCCAGCATCTCATCGGCACAAATGGCGCATCCTATCGAGCTTGTTACCCGTCAGCGGGATGACAAGGCGCAGCCGGGACATTACAGCCGCTTTTGGAGCCTGATATCAGGGAGGCTGAGATCAGCCTGTGCATGCGGCAGCTTGAAACTGCCTCAAGGTAGTCGCGGCCAAATGAGGGGCGTTGGCCCGCCCTTCATCTGGCCGTGAGTATATGAGAGAGAAAGGAAAGGTAACAAGGAAATACGTCGATGGTAGAGAAAGAAAGAGAGTTGCGAGTGCTTCTCAAGTCGTGGGCGCCTAGTAGCGAGGGCAAATTTTCCCAAAGAACGCGCTGTCTTTAGACAGATCGATAAACTTGGTAAAGTCTCTTCCTATTGCTAGATTGACTGCTGCATTCGGTGAGGGTGCTAGCCTCCATCCGGATGCGCTGCGGCCTTTCTGCAGTAGAAGATATGATCCGGTGCTTTGCGTCGGCCGCATGAGCAGACCAGGCGCGCATCGCCGTGGTCGAACCTCTCGTGATACGCGGCGAAGTCCCCGTTGGAGGGACCTCGCTGCCAGCAAGTGGTGTAAGGCTGCGCGCGGGAGCGTCAGCTCTGTGGGCAGCCTTAGTCGCCTTGAGGTTGAGTCTCTTGTATTGCTCAGGAGCGGAGGTAGACCACCACGTCTCGAATGCTTCTTTTGGTTTTTGTCTCGCGATCCGTCGTAGGTAAGCCAGCGTTGGTTGAGCACCTTCAGGTTCGAGGAGTGATGACGCTGCTTTTGCCAGTTTATCGCCTGTTCATTGCCAGGGATAGAGGAGTGTCCTGGGACCCAGAGTACTTGTGTGGCTCCGTGCGATGCCGCTAGAGCCTGAAACTCGAGAAAGACGTCTTGAGAGGAGTCGGAGGGCGTGCCTCGAGGCCGTGGCGGCCGCGAGGTTATCTAGACAGATGAAAATGGTTTGCGCTGCTGACCCTTGCAGGTCAGGGCGCTTTGAGGCCCTCTAATGCCCCAGTAGCTTCAGCGTCGAAGACCTCGGCAGGCCCAAGGCGACCTGATCCATCGAAGATGGGGACATTGTTCTGATGAATGGGGAAGCCGTAGCTTGCAGCTCCTTCCGAGGATAGAGAGCCATCTGAGTATACGACCCAAGGTGGAGCGGGTCCGAGTCTCTCAACCCAGTGGAGGAAGGCGCCGGTCGATTTCTCTTTTGACGCCATCTGGAGTGGAGGCATCTGTTCTTGATGGAAGCATCGCTGGACGAGTTTTGGCCGCTCGCAGGGCGCAAGCAGCTCGTCGGTGCGTCGGAGACGTGTCCTGAAGACACTTTTTGTCTGTATTTGGTATCTTCGTTTGATGAGGTCGTGGTAGGTAGGTCGGTCAGGCGGTCGACGCGGGCGCGTTCGGCCCGCCAGAGGGTGAGCCTCGTTAGCGATTTAAGTCGTTGCGGCGAATCTTAGTCGCTTTGCTTCGAGCAATTGGTCAATTGGTGGTATACCGCTTTCCCTATGTAGGATGGCGGGGAGTCGTCTTCCAGACAGGTAGTATCGCTCTCATGGCCTGATTATGGCTTGTTCATTATTTGTATGAGATGCTGATTGCTCGACGGTAGTTCCTTTGTGGGCTGATTCCATCGCGGCCTAGTGCTGCCTGGATACCCACGCCCTCCAAGCCGTGAAGTAGCACTGGCTCGACAACATGCTCTGACAGCACTTCGAACGGCGCTCGGTAGAGGGCCGTGTATCGTGTTAGTGAGACCCCGTAAATGATAGGCTACTGTCTTCGCTTTAGCCGCCCACTTCTCGACGTGGACCTGAACGATAGCCTGTATCCAGCCAGATGCCAAGCCAGCGCAGAGCTGATTCGGGGTGCTTCTCTGCATCGCCGTGGCGTACTGCGGGCAGTCCGAGCTTGCTACGGGAGAAGTGCATGACTTCGGTCTTCTTCGTGTCAAAGGAAACGCCGTTCGCTGCGCCCCTTCGCACCATCTCGGCGATGAGCTGGATGCCATAGCAGTAGTCTCGTCTAACGTGTCGGCTATGGACAGGATGGCCGTGTCGTCTGCATAGCCGAAGCGACCCCGGGGATTGCCCAGTCGATAGATTGGCTCAGTGTAGAGCAGAAAGAGAATCGGCGATACCGGCGACCCCTGAGGGAGGCCGCACTGTAGGGGAGAAGAGGGCGTGACGGTGTCTTGGTACCTGACACGCGCAGACCGGCCGCTCATGAAGGAGCCAGCCCAGCGAGCCAAATGGTTAGGCCAGCCCTGTTCGCGAAGACGCAGGACGAGCCTATGCACATGACCTATCGAAAGCCCTGGATATCCATTGTGACTAGAGTCGCCACTTTCTTGCTCGCAAACGCTTCTTCGATGTCATGTATCAGGGCTGTCACCAGGTCTGTTGCCGACCTCTTGGGCAACGCCCCCGTTTGCTGTGGGTGAAGGACGCTGAAGTGCACCGTTGCCCAGGCCAGACGGCGTGCGATCAGCCGCTCGAGTCCCTTGCCGAGACAAGAGAGCAGTGAGTTGGTCGCCATGCTCGTGGTTCTGTGAGGTCTCTGCGCCCCGGTTTTGCGATCATGACCACCTCCGCTTCCTTGAAATTTTGGATGATGCCTGTTGCAAGGCATCTTGCGAAGAGACGGCGGATGTGTGTCCCGATGATATGCCATACTGTCTCGAGAAGTTTGACTGTGATGTTGTCCGATCCCGGGGACGTGTTGCCTGTGCTCAGGGTTGCATACTGCGCCTCTTCCATGGAGATCTCTGAAGGGAACGGTATCGGTCTACGAGGAGTGACAGGCGTCCAAGGGTTTGCAATGTCGTCCTCTGCAGTTCTTCTTCTAACGTAGCCTGTCGGAGTGCATTGGCTTTGTCTATCTGGGTCTCATAGACAACATTGTCGACTTGTAGCGGTGGAGGCTGAAAGGCTCCAGGGGATTTCAGCACCGGACAGCTTGAAAAGCGCTGCTGCTGGAGAAGCTATCGATGAGGTTCCGCCAATACTTCCTTTTAGCACGACGAACTACACGGTGAAAGTCTCGCTTGGCCATCTGGACATCTTGGTTGAAGCCCAGAGGGTAGCTACGTCTGATGGCTCGAAAAGTAGCCGCGGCGTCGGCGCACTCCTCCGTCCACCAGGGAGCTGGACGTCCACCTTTGCGTGCAGGCCGGCCAGATGCTTTTGCTGCTGATGTTAGTAGATTTACGAGTGCCAACGTAAGCTCGTCTAGTTCCGCAGGGGTCGAGTGTGTCAGGGGGATTTCCGTGGTTCCAAGTTCTACGATCTCACAATCCGTTTGGCTCGTCTTCCGTCGTCACTCGGATCTTGGCCGGCTGCATCGGAGTCGATCTAATATCAGGGAAGGTCAAGCTGAGTGTGAAATGGTCGGAGCTAGTGGCGAGGTGGTCCTCGAAAGTTTCGGCCAGCGGCAGGTTGGTGAATGCAAGATCGATTGTGTTGCCGTGCGGATTTGTGTATGTCTAGAGTATTGAGAAGGTTGAGGTCGTTCTCTGACGTCCAGTCTGCAATTTCTTGGCCGCGATTCGTAGCTTGGCCCGTCTGCCAACTATGGTGTCTGGATTAAATCGCCAGCGACGAGGCAGCGCTCCGGCACAGGCCATCGAAGTAGCGTGTTCAAGGCTCCTTCTCGTCGTTCTGCGATAAAGTTGGCTATCGTCATGCCGTTGACTGTGATCCAAAGAATGTCACGTGTCTCAAAGGGGCGAATCTGGTCAGCCAGAAGTCTTGGGTCTCGTCGAACATATGTCATCACTCTAGGCCGAGTGTCGTTGCTGTTCCACATGTCGACTGGCGTGAACGTGTCGACGCGATGTTCTTGGTTAGGCAGCGGGCTTTAGTATGAGCTGTCCACGGCTCCTGCAGGAGTACAATGTCATATCGTTCTGAGTCGGCTAGCGCCAGGGCGCAGTCGTGGGCCGGAGGGATCTTGCCGACGTTGGCCTGGAAGCCTTGAGAGGCTTCTTGTCGTTCTTTCGTGTCTGCGAGTACCTATTCCTGGTCATAGTCATGAGTACGGCTTGTCAGAATTATACGACGCTTCTTCTTCGGTGAGCTTAGTCCATGGTGTTCAGGCTCCTTCCTCTGCTTCGTAGGTAGCCCGGGGAGCTGTGGCCACCATGATGCACGAGGGTGCTCCCGATGCAGCTGGACTCGGAGCGTGAGCGTCTGGCTGTTCATCTAGTCCGATGTCGCCCCTTCGCAGTTCAGACGCTCCTTGTTGGGATTCCATATGCGTCTCTAGCTGTGTTTCTGAATATCGTTGTCGGTATGTTTCCGCGCCCACCATTCGGACATGTTCTCGTTGTTCTTTGGTAAGCCGGCGAAGGACGCCGCGCACTTTCTTCGGCCGAGCTGGGCACTTACGAAGGCTGGCGTCGTGGGGCCCTAAGCAATTGACGCACTGTTCTGGTGCAGCACAGCCGTCTGCGATATGGTCAGTCTTGCCACAGCGTCGGCAGACTGGCTGTCTACGGCAGTTGCGGGCAAAGTGGTAGTCCCCCGTTTCGCACTGTTTAGGTTGGACGGTTTTGTCTATGAGTCTGGCTGCACGGCTGCCAAAGAGGGACCAGAATCTCTTGGTGGGCTTGAGAAAGGACACAAGTAGAGTCTTGGTCAAGGGATTATCCGAGAATTGTCTCCCAGTACGTATATCAACGGGCTTGAGCCCTGTCTGGATTTCTATCTCATCGCTGACAACGCTGTCACTATCCACCTCATTGCCGCGAAAGTCGGTCAGTCTTCTGGGAAAGTGTGAGACCACATAAGTGTGCCATTCCTTGTTCGTTTCTACTGCCATAGCTCCCAGCTCAGCCGCCCACTCGGCCCGCTTCTCTACGGAGAAAGTCGCGCGTTTCGAGGTCGGCAGCCAGGATGGCCCATCCTGATCTGACTTCAAACACCTGTCGAATCTTGTCTGAGACGGCGCCGAGTTTTTCCCGGATCAGGGTCCGGATTGCGTAGCCACTGTGGGCCCTGGCCGGAGCTCCGGCTTCTAGACGGATGAAGACACGGAGGTCTTGTCGGGGTGGAGCGATGGTCGATTGTTGCC